TGAGTATGGAGTGGTGGCCATTGGTTTGGATGAGTACGGAGTAGTGGCCATTGGTTTGGATGAGTACGGACGGAGTAGTGGCCATTGGTTGGGATGAGTATGGAGTAGTGGCCATTGGTTGGGATAAGTATGGAGTAGTGGTCATTGGTTGGGATGAGTACGGAGTAGTGGCCATTGGTTTTACCTGTTAGTAGATCATTAGTGAGTTTTAGTAGGGCAGTTTCGGTGGAGTGTAGGGGGCGGAAGCCAGACTGTAAAGGGTCAAGAAGGTTGTTGTCGGTGAGATAGGAGCTCAGGTGATTGTAGACTAAGCGTTCCAGGAGTTTAGAGGTAAATGGCAGCAGGGAGATGGGTCTTAAGTTGTTCAGGTTGGTCGGGTCCAGGGAGGGGCTTTTTAAGTATGGGAGTGCGCATGCTGTAGAGGAGAGGGGAAGGCACCAGTAGAGGGGAAAGATTGAAGATGGAAGTGAGGGAGCATAGGATGGAAGAAGAAGGTGACCGTAGTAGTTGTGAGGGGACAGGGTCCAGGGGGCAGGTAGTGAGACAGGCTTCTGAGAAAACCTTAGTGACCTCTTCAGTAATAGCAAGGTCAAAAGAGGAAAGTGTTGAGGGAGGTTTGGTATAAGGTATGCTAAGTGGGTTGGATGCCTGTGCAGTGGCGATGCCCCTATGAATTGCATCAATCTTGTTTTTGAAATGATTTACAATCTCGTGAGCATTGAGTGAGGTACTGGGTGGAGGGTTAGGTGGAGAAAGTAGAGAGTTTTAAAGTAGAGAACAGATGACGAGGACTGGATGACAAGGTATTAATAAGAGTGACAAAGTAGGCTTGTTTGGCAGCATGAAGGGAGGAATTGTATGTTAAGAAAGCAGATTTATATAGGGTGAATGCTTGTTGAGATTTGGTTTTACGCCACAATCGCTCCAGCGCACGACTATATCATTTAAGATTTCTGGTGTCGTCAGCCTGCCAAGGTTTTAACGGTCGGGGCCTGATGCTTCGTGTTGTTAGAGGAGCAAGTGAGTCTAATGCGGATGAAAGCGAACTGTTGTAGACAGCAGTGGCCAGGTCAGGGCAGGACAGGGGAGAGATTCTGTCATAGAGTTGGTCAGTTGCAGAGTGGAAAGGAGCAGGGTTCAAGTTGTGAAGGTTTCTGTGGGTAATTGCCGCTTGGAGGGATAGGTGTTTGAAGATGAGGAGACTGTAAAGGTGATGAGATTGTGATCAGAGAGAGGAAAGGGGGTGTTTGTGAGGTTGTAGGGAGTGCAAAGACGGAAGAAAACAAGGTCTAATGTATTCCCATCAGAGTGAGTGGAGGACTGTATACACTGTGCTAATGCAAAAGATGAGGTTAGGTTGAAGAGCTGGGATGTAGCCGGGTTGTTGACATTAATGGGGATGTTAAAATCTCCGAGAATGATAGTGGGTAGTTCAGAGGAGAGAAAGTAGGGTAGCCAGGTGGAGAAATCATCAAGAAAGCGCGACACCGGTCCAGGAGGCCGATAGATCACTGCAACAGCCGGAGAAAACAGACAGCGGATGCAGTGAGTCTCAAAAGAAGAGAAGGATAGAGAGGGAGGGTTAGGGAGGACTTGAAAGGTGCTCAGTGGGGATAGAAGCAAACCAACCCCACCACCTTTCCGACCACTGGGTCTGGATGAGTGGGTCCAGATGAGGGCTCCATAGGAAACTGCTGCGGGAGAAGCAGAATCTGCTGCTTGGAGCCAGGTTTCTGTAATTGCTAGTAGGTTAAAGGAGCGGGGTGACAAAAAGGTCATGTACAGAGTGGGCATTCCAGAGTACACATGAAAAATGGAGGGTGGTTTTTGGGAGCACTGATATTAAATTGAGGGGATTGCGGCTATTCCCGGAAGAAAGAGGATGCCTGGTGTGGGGGTGAGATAGTGGAGGACCAGGGTTTGGGGAGATATCCCCAGAGGTTAGGAGAAGAAGAAGGGTGAGGAAAGTAACATGGGAGTGGGATGTACACGAGTGCACATGCCTTCCAGTCCTGGTGTTTGGGTCAGCAGGAGAGTGAAGTATCAGCAGGAGGTGATGAGAGCAGTAGTAGGGAGATAGTAGCAGTGACGGTGAGATGTACAAGTTTTGGGGTGGAGCAGAGGGATAAAGAAGTGAGATTTTGGGAACCCAGGAAAGTAATATGAAAAGGAGGAGTAGAGGGGACATATTAAAAGGTACATGGAGTGGGACTTAGACTTGTAAGAGATGTTTCCCAGGGTGTTTGCTTGCAGTCTGTCCAGCATGCAGTAGAGTTTCTTGCTGTTGTATCTTCCTGCTGCTTGAGTTATCCTGCTTTAGTTCAACTGCTGTGTTCAACTGCTTCTTAGCACTCCATCAACGCAGAGCTAACTGCTGTGTTCAACTGCTTGTAGCACTCCATCAACGTAGCACTCACACAAAAGCAGCACCCCATCAGTGACTGTGCCCCCCATCAGTGATCTCCCCCCATGAGCTGTTCTAAATTTATAGGGAGATGGTCAAATGAGCACTCATCTCCGCTCCAATTAGAAACTGATAAGAATCACATGAATAGGGGGGGATGTTTCTCAAACAGACCAGACTACAGTCATAAAATGAGTGCAACTAGAGGTGAGAGCTAGTCAACTATGTAGCTAAAAGGACTGGTGGACCCTTCTCATGATCAACTTAAGCCAAACAATGAGTACTGGGTGGGAGGCTCTCCTGAAGAGTTGACTAACTATGTATGTAACTTTAAAAAAGCAATATTTCCTGGATAAACAGCATTTTTCGCCCATTGACTTGTATCTCAGTGCCCCACCTGAATTATATCTAGGATATAGTGCGGAAGGCTTAAATATTTGGTCAGGATTTTATTGCTTCAGATAAAGGAGATGAGAGCTTTACAAAGTTTAACATGTCAAGAAGCCATATTTTTTTTAGGGACTCGAATTGGGGGGAACCCAGAAAGGGTATAACAATTTAGATAAGTACATCATCTGGGCTCGGCCAAACCAAGAAAGAGTCATACGGTTCCTTGAGGAAAGCAAACCTTGAAGTTGTTTGAGCAGAGGAGGAATGTTGGCTCAATTCATGGTTTCAAATGTGAGCGAGCATGATTCCCTGGTATGGGAGGTTGGGACACCAGAGAAATGTGAACTGAGCTTGAATTGATTTAAAGGCAGTGCGTGAGAGATTAATGTTCGTAAGTATAGACTTGGATGGGTTTGCATGAAGGCCTGAGTAGCGAAGTGGGGAAGAAGCTCCATGAGGTTAGGAAGAGAAATGTGTTGAGAAGTAAGGTATACTAGTATGTCATCCACAAAAAGCAGTCCTATGGTGAACTCCATTGATTTCAAGACCCTTAATATCAGGGTGTTGGTAAATGTGAACCGTTTGCGGCTCTACTGCTAATATAAGAAGTATAGGCAACAGCCCTGGCATGTTCCCCTGTGAATTGGGAATGGTTCAAATTCAATGTGGTGGTATCTTATAGTTTCTAATGGAGTGCTGTAAACCCAGGTCAGATATGTGCAGGACTTGAAGCAATTAGCAGGGTGCTTTAGTGTAGCCAGTGCCTTTCAGGGGTACATGTAGACCTCCTTTATCCGGGCTTTCATGTAGCCCCAAAACATGATGGACATACCCGGAAATTTGAATTCCTGAGATTTGGGGGGGAGTAGAGTGTAGGGTTTAAGTGCAGCTTCCCAATTTTTGGGTATGGTCAAACTGTGTTTAAAAGTGGGAGAGGCTTAAAGAAAAGGTCTGCAGAGTCTAAAGACCATACCAGTGTTACTAAGAGTGTACCTGGCTCCCACCTATCCACCTTCCAGTGTGATCTCTAAATGCCAATCAGATGCACTATCAGTGTCAGATGCACTGTGTGTACAACATTCCAGTGATGCTGACAGTACATCTTGGTTGACACCTACCTACCCCCCCCCCCCCCAACATTTTGTTGAAACTTCTAATGTATCTGGCTGCCACCAAGCAATTGACCCTTTTTCTTGAGTCCCTTGCTGGCCAGCTGAGGACCTCCACTTGTACGCTATGACTTCCCCCTGGGCTACAGCAGGCTTCCATTGACATGCTGAGTGCATACCTTGTTAATAGCAGTCCCCTCAACCCATTGGGCCATTGGTGGCTACCCTCCCAGAGATCTCTGACCGCCCCCGCCCTCCGAATGACTGTTCTACTCCCTCACAGCACCCATCCCTCCTCCTCTCCAAGCTTATAGTCATTGCAAAGTGCAGCATGCATAATGGTGGAGCCCTCCTCCCCTGCACTTTTGTAACATTTTACATCTCTGGAATAGAAATTCTGGTGGTTTCACAATTCCATTACTGTCCTGGCAACTGGGAAAAAAGTTTGGCATAGCCAGATGAATTCCTAAAAGTTCCCAGGGATGATGATGGCTATTCCTGAGCTTACTTGTGGATAAGAAAATGTTTTGGAACTTGTTACACTTTCTACTATCCTTATTTCCTTTACTTGAAGGATCAATCCTTGGGACAGACAGGAAATGGGGGTAGTGGGTTGTCACCAGGACAGGAAGGCACAGACAGTATAAAAATGTTGTTACAGATTCTAGCGGTTCCTCGTTCTACTAAAAACTTGTGTTAGTCTCCTGTTGAAGAGACTTCACAACACTTCCTGTCATAACAGGAAGTTAGGAGAAGTCTCCCCAACAGATACAAAGGCGGCAATAAAAATCTAACAGAAGTTCTAAACATTTCCCAACCTATCCGAACTAACAATTTGACTGGATTTGGGATTTAAAGGGGACTTTTATTGAAGACGTATGGAGGCTGCCATTGCTGATCTCAAATTTGAAAAAAGATTGTTTCCTGGCTGTTGTGCTCATCCAGGGGCTCCAGTTCTTTCCGAGAAGAAAGTAACCTCTGCTTATGTGTTTTCCCTTCAGACATGAGTTAGAACCACTATCAGATATTTATTGCTGTGTTTGTTCACGCTGGGGACATTTCCCCTCTGTATTTGTCCTGGTGAGCATTAACGCCAGGAGTAAAAGGGAAGAAAAATCTAAAATTTTGAGATGTCTTCAGAACAAGAATAGCAAGAAATCTTCCCATGTGGGTACTTGTTCTGGTGACAATTGTCCAAGAGAGAAATTCCCTCACTTTAGACAGGTTTCCTCTGACTTCCTGTTGAGTCTGCAGAACAGGAAGTATAGGGATATCTCTTGAATGGGGCACAGGGGGCAGAAAAAAAAAACGGAGGGATTTCAATTATACCCTACCCCAGGGGTGTCAAACCAGGATTAGTGTTCCCGCTTGGCTTACTGAGCCACGAAAATACACAATTTTGTTTGTCGAAGGGTGGATTGATGGGGTGCATAACCTTGATGATTCTAGGAAAGGGGTGTCAAACCGCAGGCCATATCGGCATTATGGTTGCCCTCAAAGTGCTGGTTGTATCTGTAAGACTAGATGTACAGAGCACCCCCCCCATTACATCAGATGTCAAGAATCCCACACCCTCCCTAACATCACCGTGCACCCCCATTAGGGGCAGAGCTGGAAAGCAGAAATGTCAGGGTCTGGTGGAGGACCAGAGGAGGAGTGGAGTCAGTTACAATAGTCTGCTGAATGCTGAGACCAGGGGAGGCAGAGATGAGGGGGTGCAGGGATGAGGATGATTTGGCAATTTGTTCTATTTTCCTCTCTGCTGTGGACTGTTGAGACAAGGTAGGGGTGGAGACAAGGGGGTACCTGCAGGAGAGGTGCAAGGGCCATATGAAATGGCCTGGAGGGCCGGATTCGGCCTGCGGGCCTTGTTTTTGACACCTGTGCCCAACCCTATCTAAAATAAATTTTAGGATATTTGATATACTTTACATGTTAAGTCCTAATTTTCTTTCCGATGGGTGGGTAGCTTTTCACTTATGATGCCTTCTTTACAGTACAGTAAATCAGTAAATAAAAGTATAATACAGATATATACTGGGTGTATATATATATAAAACGGACATATAAATATTTATTTTGGATCCTTGATCTCCAATTTTCGCTGCTCAGAGACCTCTGAGCCCTTGAGACGTGTTGACGAGCCGGCTCATGGCGGTATAAGTTACAAGGTGAAAACAAGGCCCAGCTAATCCCGCGTAGGCTACTTCCATGTTCCTATAATGGAGATCTCGCTGCTTGATTATAGCTCTCACAATCTGTGGTGCTCAGCTCTGCCTTTCTGTATATATTCTCCAAAGATCTCGAGGAATATGTAGGTGGAGAGTCACGCCGCGCAATTCAGGGAGGATTATGGGAAAGCAGAAACCTCAGGTGGGGGGGGGGGGGGGGAGTTAACTCTCCAGGGTCTATGAGAAATCTAAGCCAGCTGCATAAACAGAGAGGCTTAGCTGTGAGACCATTAAACTGGTTAAAAAATATACACACACACAACATATATATATATATATATATATATATATATACACAGTACATACAGTATATCAGTAGATGTAAACCCTTTTAGTTTGCTAAAGCACCATGTACCACAAACAATTAGCATTTTTTGTATTAAAATACTTCTTGCCATTTTTATCCTTTGTTGCATCTCAGTGCTGCTGATCTCCTGCAGCCTCTTTGAGTCCACTTCTTGTCTAGTGTACATGCACTGTAGTGATGTTTTCTGATGGTGACAACAGTGAACTATGCCTGTGCCATGCATACCTCCCAACTTTTGAACTTGAAAATGAAGGACACTTTAGGGCAATGTTAACCTCTCAGCACAAATCCTCACCCCCTTCTAGCACAATTCCCCCTCCTTGTGCAAATCCTCACCCCCTTCTAGCACAAATCCTCACCTGCCCCCTTCTATCACAATTCCCCCATCCCTGCACAAATCCTCACCCCTTTCTAACACAATTCCCTCTCCCAGCACGACTCCTCACCCCTTTCTAGCACAATTTCCTCATCCACGAGCAAATCCTCACCCCTTTCTAGCACAATTCCCCCTCCCAGTGAAAATCCTAACCCCATTCTAGCACAATTCCCCCTCCCAGTGAAAATCCTCACCCCATTCTAGCACAATTCCCCCCTCTCAGCACAAATCTTCACCCCTCCCCCCCTTAACAGCACAATTTTGTTCTCCCAGTGCAAACCATCTCCCCCTTTCTAGCACAATTCCCTCCTCCCAGTAAAAATCTCACCCCCTTGTAGCACAATCCCCTATCCCAGCACAAATCCTCACCCCCTTCTAGCACAAATCCTCCCCACCCAGCACAAATCCTCCATCACCAAATTCCCCCAACACCCCACCCCCCCAAATCACCCGCAGCACAAATCCTCTTATTCCCCTGAATTCCCCCCCTCTCAGGATACATTTTCTCACCTGATAGTGTTCGTTATGACAGGTAGCCAACAGGGAGAGATGTCAGCTGCTGCAGTAGCTGGGGATTGCAGTGTTGGGGACCCAAGCTGTATGGGGAGTGCGCCCTGGGTGCCTGGCATTAACGCATGCCTGCTAATTCCACAGAGTAAATAAGTGTAGCCAAGTGCTGAAACTCGTTGCTGCTTCGGGATACAGCCCAGATCCGTGGGATGCTGGGATTTTGTTTGAAATACCAGGAGGGTCCCACAAGATCCAGGACAATTGGAGGTATGGTAATGTGTGCTGAACGGACCACTTGAAGTCTCCATTGAAAGCCCTTCTGATAGGGTGAGATGTAGCGAACAGATATAACAAACGGCTTTCAATGGTCTATTTAACAGACCAGAAGAAAGCATATAAACCAAACCGATAAGAGGCATGGAGGAGATCAGCTATGAGGAAAGAATGGAGGAACTGAATTTATTCTCTCTTGAGAAGAGGAGATTAAGGGGGGATATGATCTCCATGTATAATACATAAGGGGGGGATATGATCTCCATGTATAATACATAAGGGGGGATATGATCTCCATGTATAATACATAAGGGGGGATATGATCTCCATGTATAATACATAAGGGGGGGGATATGATCTCCATGTATAATACATAAGGGGGGGATATGATCTCCATGTATAATACATAAGGGGGGATATGATCTCCGTGTATAATACATAAGGGGGGATATGATCTCCATGTATAATACATAAGGGGGATATGATCTCCATGTATAATACATAAGGGGGGATATGATCACCATGTATAATACATAAGGGGGGATATGATCACCATGTATAATACATAAGGGGGATATGATCTCCATGTATAATACATAAGGGGGGGATATGATCACCATGTATAATACATAAGGGGGGGATATGATCTCCATGTATAATACATAAGGGGGGATATGATCACCATGTATAATACATAAGGGGGGATATGATCACCATGTATAATACATAAGGGGGATATGATCTCCATGTATAATACATAAGGGGGGATATGATCTCCATGTATAATACATAAGGGGGGATATGATCACCATGTATAATACATAAGGGGGATATGATCTCCATGTATAATACATAAGGGGGGGATATGATCACCATGTATAATACATAAGGGGGGGATATGATCACCATGTATAATACATAAGGGGGGGATATGATCACCATGTATAATACATAAGGGGGGATATGATCACCATGTATAATACATAAGGGGGGAATATGATCACCATGTATAATACATAAGGGGGGATATGATCACCATGTATAATACATAAGGGGGGTATGATCACCATGTATAATACATAAGGGGGGATATGATATCCATGTATAATACATAAGGGGGCATATGATCTCCATGTATAATACATAAGGGGGGATATGATCACCATGTATAATACATAAGGGGGGTATGATCACCATGTATAATACATAAGGGGGGATATGATCTCCATGTATAATACATAAGGGGGGATATGATCTCCATGTATAATACATAAGGGGGGATATTATCTCCATGTATAATACATAAGGGGGGATATGATCTCCATGTATAAATACATAAGGGGGATATGATCTCCATGTATAATACATAAGGGGGGGGGATATGATCTCCATGTATAATACATAAGGGGGATATGATCTCCATGTATAATACATAAGGGGGATATGATCTCCATGTATAATACATAAGGGGCATATGATCACCATGTATAATACATAAGGGGGGGATATGATCTCCATGTATAATACATAAGGGGGGATATGATCTCCATGTATAATACATAAGGGGGGATATGATCTCCATGTATAATACATAAGGGGGATATGATCTCCATGTATAATACATAAGGGGGATATGATCTCCATGTATAATACATAAGGGGGGATATGATCACCATGTATAATACATAAGGGGGGATATGATCTCCATGTATAATACATAAGGGGGGATATTATCTCCATGTATAATACATAAGGGGGATATGATCTCCATGTATAATACATAAGGGGGATATGATCACCATGTATAATACATAAGGGGGGATATGATCACCATACATAAGGGGGGATATGATCTCCATGTATAATACATAAGGGGGGATATGATCTCCATGTATAATACATAAGGGGGGATATGATCTCCATGTATAATACATAAGGGGGGATATGATCACCATACATAAGGGGGGATATGATCTCCATGTATAATACATAAGGGGGGATATGATCTCCATGTATAATACATGAGGGGGGATATGATCTCCATGTATAATACATAAGGGGGGATATGATCTCCATGTATAATACATAAGGGGGAAATGATCACCATACATAAGGGGGGATATGATCACCATGTATAATACATAAGGGGGGATATGATCTCCATGTATAATACATGAGGGGGGATATGATCTCCATGTATAATACATAAGGGGGGGGGATATGATCTCCATGTATAATACATAAGGGGGGATATGATCTCCATGTATAATACATAAGGGGGGATATGATCTCCATGTATAATACATAAGGGGGATATGATCTCCATGTATAATATATAAGGGGGATATGATCACAATGTATAATACATAAGGGGGGATATGATCACCATACATACGGGGGGATATGATCTCCATGTATAATACATAAGGGGGGATATGATCACCATGTATAATACATAAGGGGGGGATATGATCTCCATGTATAATACACAAGGGGGGATATGATCTCCTTGTATAATACATAAGGGGGGATATGATCTCCATGTATAATACATAAGGGGGGATATGATCACCATGTATAATTCATA